AACGTCTTGTTCTTCCCCAAGAGGGCAGAACAAAACTCAACACTTACCCGGACAGAGATTTCTACGCTTATCCACGCTTTGTGACCCATGTTGATGATGGCTTCATTTCCACATTAACCAATCTCTACAGACAAAAGTTGAGGCCTAACTCAGAGATTCTTGATCTTATGAGTTCATGGGTCAGCCATTTACCAGAAGAGGTTGAGTACAAAAAAGTGGTTGGGCATGGACTCAATGCACAAGAACTTGCCAAGAACCCAAGGCTGGACTATTTCTTTGTCAAGGATCTGAACCAGGATCAGAAGCTGGAGTTGGAGAGCTCCAGTTTTGATGCAGTTTTGTGCACAGTCAGTGTGCAGTATCTTCAACAGCCTGAGAAGGTTAGATGGTACTGTTAATTTAGGGCATGTTTGAGTGTGTTTCTACAGGGCCTAAAAGCGCTTTCTAACAAACAAAGGTCCTAATGCGTTTGGGTAATAAAAGCACTTTCTGGAGAAGTACATGTTAGTACTTCTTCAAGAAACACTTGGGATTTCTAATGAAAATTTCAACTTAATATAATAAAAACACTTTTGTTATAAGCGCTTATGAGCAGAAGTAACCCAAAAAAGGAGCCTCAAACGAGCCCTTACCTTTGTTACATTAATCAAAACCTTTGTTTAATTTGTAAATAAATTACCCAATTGAGTGGACATTGTGATGCAGGTGTTTGCAGAGGTGTTTAGGGTTCTAAGGCCAGGAGGGGTGTTTATTGTGAGCTTTAGCAATCGATTGTTCTATGAGAAAGCCATAGGCGCATGGAGAGATGGGAGTGCATACAGCAGAACACAATTGGTTGTGCAATACTTTCAATCTGTGGAAGGGTTCACGCAAGCTGAAATAATTAAGAAATTACCAGACCCTAATGGTGGTGGTGGTGGTAGTCCACAAAATAAATCACCATTCAGTTGGGTCATGGGTTTGCTGGGATTGCTATCCGGGTCGGATCCCTTTTATGCAGTGATAGCTTACAAGAACTTCAAGCCTGTATATGAATGAACAATAGCTTACCAGAACTTCAAACTCTTACTCTGTTCCCAAATGAAGCATGCAGTATGCAGACGTTGGACTCTGTTTGTCCTTTCAATTCTTGTAATTGTGAGGGTTTCTATTCCCTGTCTGTCAGGCTATGATGTTAGAAATACAAAAATGAACACCACCACTGGCAGAGTGCTCTCAAATCCTTCATCAAGTAGAAAAGTAAGATTTGAAAATGGAGCAGAGTAGGTTGCCAAGTTGAATGTCTTTTTGAGCTGAAATTATACTTCTACAAACTCATTTTGCAGTCCAGTTAAAAATTGGTAATTGGTGATTATGGCATACATGAAACTGCAAGCTGGATTTTAGTAAGGAATGGACTAGATCAGCCGGCCAGCCACGTCACAATTTCTTTCATTGTGGTAACTTGTTGGGTACGTTACGGAAAAATGGGTTACAAAAAAGTTTTGAGTTGGAACATGAGGGTTAGGATAGTTGGTCAAGACAATTGTGGTAACTTGTCGGGTACGTTACTGAAAAATGGGTTACAAAAAAGTTTTGAGTTGGAACATGAGGGTTAGGACAGTTAATCAAGACAATTATTCCCTTTCATTCGATTGTATAAAATAAAATAAAAAAAATAAAAAAAAAGAGGTCCAAGTTTGTATGGGTGGTAAATTTTAGAAAGGCAGCTTTGGGTCACAATGTTTGATATGACTCTGTATCCAGCTTCTCTACTTGTATGTTTTGGGCCTATTGGCCTTTGGGTACGTTTCTGATATTTACCTACCGAAACTTTTCCTTTGCAGCTTTGTTTTCCTCATCAAAATAAAAAATATCTCCACCTGCAAACATTTGGACCATCCTGCGCTAATGTAACCAGAACAAACCCTTCTCTCATTCCTTATCCTCTCTCCATCTCTCTATATCTCTCTCTTCCCCTCCTCTCTCTACCTTCCTCCAACCATGTCTTCTGCAACCGCCGCTTTTTTGAAGCCAATATCAATAGCCGAAAGTTGCCTACCCTCTGTGCCAGCCCTCTTTGCCCCAAAAAACCAATACCCAATTCTTTCACTTCCTTCAAAACCCACCAAGCTCTCAGCCGTCTCATGCTCATTTACGCCTTCTCTCCCTTCATGGGTCTCTCTCAAGCACAAGTCTTTACCTCTGCATGTGGCTCAGACCTCGGACTGGGCTCAAGAAGAAGAAGTAAAAGAAGAGGGTTCGGGTTTTGAGAGTGAAGGGGTAGAGGAAACAGAGGAGGGGATAGAGGCAAGTGCTTTATCTGATGGGGAAGAGAGTTCTGGAGACGGAGTTTTAGCGGTTGGTGAAGAAGAATACTATCCCGAACCACCCGAAGAGGCCAAGCTCTATGTGGGTAATTTGCCTTACGATGTTGATAGTGAGAAACTTGCTCATATCTTCAACGAGGCTGGGGTTGTTGAGATTGCTGAGGTAAATTTAGTGTCTTTGATGCTCTGTGTATGCTTCGCAGTTAAAATTGCAGCATTGGAATTATTGTCACATGGTATTGTGTTTTCTCTTTGCAATTACTAGGTGATCTACAATAGGGAAACAGATCAGAGTAGAGGTTTTGGGTTTGTGACTATGAGTACTGTTGAAGAAGCTGAGAAGGCTGTACAGTTGTTCCACCGTTATGTAAGTTGCAAATTCCTTTGTTAATTATCGTTCTTTTTTCTTTTCCAGTACAATTAAAAAAAGAATAAACTAATTCATTGCCAACATTCTGAACTTAAAAGAAGTATAAATGTAGCAAAAAACATGCATCTTGATACATTTGGTTCCAATTACGAAGTGGCATTACGTTGATTTAGTTTCTTAATTCCATGCATCTTTTAATAAATCTTTCCTCCCAATTGCAATGAGAAAACTTGTTAAATTTCAAACTCATATAAATTGAGGAGTGTTTTAAAGTTACATTTGTTCTTACACAGGATATAGGTGGAAGACTTTTGACTGTAAACAAGGCTGCTCCTAGAGGGTCACGTCCTGAAAGACCTCCTCGAGTGAATGAACCCTCTTTCAGAATCTATGTTGGTAACCTGCCATGGCAAGTTGATGATTCTCGTTTGGAGCAGGTTTTCAGTGAACATGGAAAGGTGGTCAGTGCCAGGGTAGTATATGACCGGGAAACAGGGCGCTCACGCGGGTTTGGTTTTGTTACGTTTTCTAGTGAGACAGAAGTGGATGATGCCATTGCTGCTCTTGATGGACAGGTATAGACTTGCCTTTGTTTCATGAGTGTTGAAATATTATCTTTCTGCCAATTTAGAGTATGCCAAGAAACTGATAACTACTTTAGTTTCTAGGATATTACTCAATCCATTAGGTTTTCGGATGTTACTCAGACCATTAGGGATTCATAATTCTGCAACAGATTAACTCTATTTCCGAATATTGGTCTAGTATATATCATTTGTGGAGTCTTGTCTATTTCTTTGGCCTGTCCACTTGTATGCAACATCTGAACACGTTTGAGACAATTGAGTCATGGATCTCTGCCAATTGACTTGGACTCAATCCCACAATTCATAAAAGGAAAGAGCCACGAAGTTCTCATGTTTGATTTAGTCATTCGTTTTTGTGTTTTAGACTCAAATGAAGTCACCTTACAACTAATTGTGTATTGTTGTTATCTTGGTGCCTTTCTATTAATTAACAAAGACCCTCATTTTGTTCTACATTGGCTGTGCAGAGTTTGGATGGCAGATCAATCCGAGTAAATGTTGCTGAAGAGCGACCAAGACGTGGCTCATTTTCTATTTAAGAAGATAATTATTCAATATTTTATATGAGCAGATTGGTGCTTAGCTTTTGGAGAGGGTCCTAGCATTCTTCAACTTTTGCCCCCATCTTCTTATATTTCCCTTCTTCGACGAGATATTTTCTTTTAGGGATTTAAAGTTTTTACAGATAGGTTATTATTCTGCCTTGTGTATCTTCTAGCATGTTGACAACAGTATGTCCTGTTTCATCTTTGTTACATTGTATCAATCGAATGCAGTTCTCCTTCTCATGTGATTACATTTACGTATCCTTCTCATCTTATAACATTCACATGTGCAAAAATAATTCATCAAAAACACAAAAGGAAAAATTTATGCGCACGTCACACTGCTAGTGGTAGGAATGTAGGAGTTTCTACTTACGTGGTAAAGAGGGAAGTATTTTTCATTGACAAATGTATGAAAACAATACAGAAATGAAAGTCTGTATTGACCCAAAAAACCAAAAGAGTCTGCAAATGTCCACAAATGAACTTTTTAAAGCTTCCTGTTAGAAAAAGGGGAAAATTAGGCTTAATTTAAGTCTCAACAAAAGGGACATTTGAGACAAACTGCCTTATGCTGTTCTTATATTTAACTCAAGAGGATCGTGATAGAAGTTTACAAAGAATTCCATAAGCTTGAATTTCGTCACTTTCTGTACTCAGTATACAGTAAAAGATGTACAATGTGCGATTCCAACCCATATTATGCAGAGAATGAAGCCAAATTACAAATGAAAAAATTTATATCAAAAACTTCATCTCGCATTCGTCTGAACTTTTGAGGTGCTCCAAAAATTTTGCACTTCTGGGCCATAACGGTCAAAATCATCAAATTTACTGGTCAAGATTAGATGCTCAATTTTGTGTATTTTTACCAAAATTCTGTGGTCTGGTGGAGGATTTCTACAAAAGACTCGAAGTGTGCAGATGGGGCAGAAATTACTTGTTGAAGCAGTGAGAAAGAAAGCCCGATGACTGCTATCTCCCTTTTTTCCTTTTTGGGTACTACTGATGACTACTATCTTCGTTTGGCTAAAGAAAATTTCAGCCCTGGTACAGCGAACTTCCGTTGGTTTCATATAGGCGTATTAGAGCTTTTTTCAAATTAAGCTACTTGGCTAGCTTTCTAGCTTTCTCAACTGCTTCAGCATAATAATACAATCTCCAAAGTGTTACATTACTCTGCAAGTAAAAGATACAACTTTAGAAACGAGTTGAAATTCTAATTAGTTCACAAACCAGGTAATTTTGCATCTTCTTACCTGTTTTTCAAGATCCACATGAATTTCATCAGAGGAATTTGTACAAGCTGCGTTCCTATGTTGGAGCATTTCTGCAACACAGTCAAGATTTTTTGGTGGTAACTTCTGAATCAATTTTCCAAGCTTGTGTTTCTCAGGAAGGGTCATAGGCCTGAAAAGTTCACAGTTACAAGAGAGAGAGAGGGAGCAATGTATGACCTAAGCAGGTCAATAGTGCTTTGTTGAGATCTACATCAGAAATTCAACGCTGAATTTTCACTTATTTAACAATTTATCAAGAAACATTAGATCCTATGAGGCCCAATGTTTCCAATGGATATGTAGAATTGAATGCTATTGTGGCTGAGAAATATCAATTATAGAGAGCAAATTATTAACAACTACCTGCACGAAGCCATCACAGTATCAAGAAGTTTTTCAAGCTGCTGTTCCATGTGCCCTAACTGAAAAACAGACATAAATTCAGTTCAGATATAAATCATCGTAATGTATCAAACATTGGAAAGATAAACTTCATATTCCTGATGAGAGTTATGATATAACCATATATTTGAGAAATGGGAGTTTGATCAGGCTTTGCAGTACTGGCAAAGAAAAAATTTCAGAGAATTACTGTTGCAGAAAATTCATCAGAATATTTCTTCACTGTCTCCTCAACCTGCAAGCTATCCTTCTCTATAAGGAACTGCAAATCATCGTCAACCTGAAGAGTAGAATTATGATAAACCCACCCATAAGTAAGTTGCCAACATCATGCATAAATTGCTGCACAACACACCCACCCACACACACACACACAAAACCCTTGCCTAAACATCCTACTTTCTCCTCCTTTCTTCAGTTAAACAAGTTTGCAAGTATTACAAAGTAAGAAAAAAAAAAAGACCCAAAAACAAAAAAATCAGGGCGTGTTTGGAAGGGTGGGCAAGTGCAACCTTTTGGATGTGACACAACCCCACAAATAGAAGGGCAGTAAGGAGAATGTTAGTCACCTTTGGCTCCTCCGGAACAGCTATCAACCTAGCTGTTTCTGTTGTGAGGCCATGAGCACAGTTCTAAACAACATTAGAAAAGTTCAACCATAAATTTCTACATGATATGAACCATTACAAAACCCAGTGACTGCAAAGCTTGGGTTATGCAACACAAAAGAAAAGGCAATTGGTATTACAACTGCTTTGTCCTATTGAAAAATGTTATAAGAAAAGAGAGAAGAAAAAATCTTCTGCATTAACTAAAACATAAAAGATCTTACTTCAGAGTAAACGCAACAAAAACATAAAGCTTTAGAAATAAAAATATTAGTGGGAAGTATCACATCCCCTAAGAAGTCTAAATGTTAGCCAATTCTGAGCATAAAAAATATATGCAAATCTGACAAATTAAAGAAAAATGGCCACCTTTGTCAAGCATATTCACAAAATTTTCTCTTTTAACTACACATTTTCAATCCATTAAAATAGAAAAGGGTTAGATCAACAACAATGCAGAAAACCTGAAACTTGATAAGAATGATAATGCAACAAATGAAATATAACCTCTTTGCTAGACTCGAGATTGGTAGGCGTGGAAAGTGCAGGGAGACTGGTTGAAGAGAAAGAAGAAGATCTCTTTGGTCTTTTAGAGTGAGCATTCCTTGCATCAATGTCAGGTAATGTACCTTTAGAAGACGATAGACAGTTTCTGCTCTTTAGCTGAGATTTTAACCCGCTGATAGCAACAACAGGTTCTAGCATCTGCATTTACACATATGGTTATTACAAGTACAGATTCTAAATAAGCATTTTTATCTCACAGGCTTGGTTAAACATAGGCCTCAAATGTGAACCCATATGGTATCAAATCAACAATTGTTGAATATTATCAAGTATCACATCATCCATACGAAATGTGAAGCAACACTTAGTACCGCAAATGTGAAAGCAACATTTTCAATTACATTACAGTAAAGTACCACGACATCATACAACTAAAGGGCGACTCAATATCATGACATATTTATTGATTGTTTAAAAAGTATCAAAGTACATCCAGATTCATTTCGTATAATTCAAAATCATGAATGTATATAACCATTCTTGACTTTGTTTGAAGCACCCATTTAAAAACAAAAGGGGAAGTAGGCATCATCCCTACATACCTCATCAACCTCTGGTGAAAGCAAATTCACACCCTGCCTGAGCAATGATTTCAATCTTTCCTTTTTGAAATCTGAAAGCCCAGTTCCTATGCTGTTACCAAATAAAGAACCAGAAGTACCATAACTGTGCTCAATAACATCCTTCCCTCTAACATCACTTCTTCTTTGAGATAGATCAGAGGATTGGGAAGCAAAAGGTGGAAAATCTTCTTCTTGTGATAACAACTCTGTAACTAAACGTGTATAGTAACCAAAGAAGTCTGGTCCTATTTTATCATGTTCACTCGAACCAACAAGATCCTTCGTAGCTTCTGACATAACAACAAAAATGCAGCTGCACCACAGAAGAAACAACATTTATACAATATATGATACTAAATTTTCTAAATGGAAAATAATTAGAACATTGGTCAGTCAAAGAGCAGCTAATGAAACTTCTTCCTTTCATAGCCAAATGAAGAAAGTATCTGAAACAAAACGTACTGAAATTTCAAAAGACAAATATCATGCCCTTACCAGCTATGCCAAAACAACACTTCTACTTGAGCAAATTTTCTTATCTGCCAGGTAACCAACATGTGGCACCTTGCACCTTTCCGGGCATTGACTTTCAGATATAAGGATTCTCAATCGAACACCTCATATCTGTGTGGAAAACCTGATCAGCATATCTTGAATAAAGTAATAATAACAAAACACAAACAACACCCAAATGTGTCAAATCAATATTTTTTAATGAAAGAGCCAATAAGACTATACTGCTGAAGATGTTAGAAATCTAGTAATGAATTAGGAGTTAGATTATTTTATCAACCTATAGATACATGTACTTGTGTAATATGTTCTTCATTGGTTGAACACATGAAATAGCAAGTTATTAGTTATTACAAACTTAATCTCTTTGTTTTGGTCTTGGAAGGAGACTATCTAACGAAAGAGGCATAAAACAACTCCACGAACTATCCCAAGCTTCCCAAATTCACTAGAAATAAGATACGTTGATACATTTGAAGAAATTTTTTGTTTCCCTGGAATCCTACAGGCACCTCAAGAAGGCAAATAGCATGCAAACACATAAACCCTAAACGCAATCTAGAAGAAGAGAGGCGATTTAGCATGCACTCATTTATAAAACACAAACACATTAACCCTAAACCCAATGTATAAGAAGTACGGTGATTTAGGACGCAATCTTGATAACACTAACACATGAACAATAAACCAAATCTATAAGAAGTATGCGATTACGTAGTTCAGAGCGCAAGAGAGGTTAAAAATCAGAGATTCGATTTAGCATTATCTCCATAAACCCTAGCGCTCCGTTTGGTTTCTCCGAAATTTAGCAAAATGAAACTAAGAAAACTACAGTCATTGGAGATGAAATTTCCAACATTTTAAACCGCCTTCAACACTGAGCCAATCAAAAGGACGACGTTCAAATTTTTAGTTTATTTTCCATCTTTTCTTTCGTTTTGTTTCTTGGCTTTCAGGCAAAGCAAATAGAACCTGAAGCTAAGAAAGCATAATCAAACAAATGTTACAGAGCGGAAGAGAGAGAGAGAGAGATAGAGAGAGAGAGATGGAGAGGGAGCGGGAGAGGGAGAGAGAGATAGAGAGGGAGGGACGCTTACGTACATGATCGGCGCGTTGGCAGAGCCGGTAGCCAGAGAGAATTGGATGAGAATTTTTGAGAGCGAACGACGTCGTCGAACGGAAGCCGAGCGTGAACCGGACCGCCTTTTTAGATTTTCAATTTTAAGCCGTGCAAAAAAAATCATCCGAAACTAAAAACTCTGCCTCTAAACTTTAATGATTACTTTCTAAAAAAATAAAAACTCTAATGATTACTTTCTACGTTACAACATGACAATAAATTGGATCAAAATTGAAATAAATCAAGTATAAATGACCTTCTTGCCACGACATAACCACAAAAATAAATTAGATCAAAATTTAAAAAAATTAAGTAGAAATGATATTTTCAATCATATCAAGAAAGGGTGCAACACGCACGCTATTTGTAAGAAACGTTTTATTTTGTCAAAGCGAATGATAACATGATTTAGTCACATACACATGACCATATGTGCTGGCTTGAAAAATTATTTTTCATTCTTTTAAATTAAATAAAAGGAATATTCTATAATATAAAAAATCAAATATAAGGAATTAGGCAAATTCAATTAAAAATTAAAACTAATTGATTATGAAGAGAAACATGTTACTAATACTAGTGTATCTTATGAAGGAATATTATAATGTTACATGATGATATATCTTTTATAATGCACTCTATTCAGGTAAAAGGAACTAAAACTAGTGTTTTTTAAAAAAAAATAAATTTAGAAATTATGAAATTGTATTCATAATTCAACTAAAAAAACCACTAGCGTTGATACAAATTAGTCACAAACTAATCATAAAGAGTTATTACAATAACGGAGCGATCTAATATCAAAATTAAAAGAATTTGAAGCGAAAACTAGTGTATCTAATTTCTAACATGAAAACATTGAAATTTTGTGTTTTGATTTTAGAGCGAGTTTAGAGTTTAGTAATTCACATTAGAACAAAAATTACAATCAACACACTTTTCGAACTCAAACATAACTATAGTTCGGGTCCTTACATTAGAGGCAAAACCCCATATAAGAATAGGCAAAACCCTGTACTGTAGACAAACAAGCATTCTTCACCGGGGAAGTCGTTTTTCTTTATTTTTTCTTTTGGTCCGACCTTCATAAGGGAAGTCAATTCACCACAGCCCTATACAGCTACGAAGGCTTCAATGGCTTCAACGATCCAAAGGGTCCTTAGAAGATCACAACCCACGAGAATAATCGATGCTTTACACAACCCTGCAGCGCCAAATCTTATTCTTCACCAACCTCATCTCGACCAAACCAATCCCGACCCACATCAAATCCTAAATCTAAGTCCATTGTTGGTTGTACCTAAAACACAAAACTTTGGCTCCTATGGTTTCTCACATATTTTCCCCAGCTTTCCATTTGGGATTTGTTTAAACCCGATTTCATCATCTGGGTTGGTCTCATCCGAGGCCGAAGAAGTGGAGTTTGATGACTCGCGGAAGGTCTGGGCCGATAGTGTGAAGAAGAAGAGGAAGAGGAAGATGAACAAGCACAAGTACAGGAAGCTGAGGAAGCGTCTCCAGAGACAGACTTAGTCTCTTTGTTAGGTGAGATTTGATGATGGGACATTGTGCCGGGCTTTCTAATTCGCTTAACGTGCTATTGGATTTTGCAAGATAAAAGCTTTTCCTATACTTAATGCGTTTTTTGACAGATATAATGAAATATATTGTTCAGAGCTTAAACACGGTTACTCATTGTTGTTACATAAGTTTGATTGCTGTTTAGCTGATTTGGATTGTATTGGTATTTGTTGCTCGTCGAATACTAAGCATGTAATTCGAGTTTTGATGCTTTTGTTGACTTAGCTTATTTAAATAGATTCATGTATGCATGCCATGGACACATTCTGATGTTACCAACCTAGGAATTTAGAATGGATGTGGGTAGAAATTCATTACTATGGTTATGGTCCATGGATGAGAGCTAAATGTTTATGAGCAAAAGGCCTATGCTTTTGCAATTCCAGATTGCTCATGTCTACAACTGATATCAAAGGATGCTTGCAACTTGCAAGAGACTGAGAGTTTGAGTTCAAATGGTGAACTGTTGATGCAAGTTTTTACCTTTTTGTTTCTTTTGACGACTGATGGTAGTGCCTTAATTCTTGTGCAAGATCAAGAATGAAGGATTAGTGCCTAGATGTTGCCTGCCTTATAGTTTAGCATGGTTTTAGAAATCATTGACTGTGTTGGAAAACACGAATTTGGTCGAATTCCTATTCGTGTTTGTTTTGAATACATGCAGCTTAGCTTACCAATTCTAGTGTCAAGCACCATGTTTAGACAGTACAGCAATATAAATGAAGAAAAATGTTCCTGTACAATAACAGAACTTGTATCTGAACTTTTCTGTCTCATTTCCTTAGTTTTACAAATGATGTGAGGTTCAGTTGTCCATCTTCTGCTTTGTGTGTGAACCAATTGAAAGAGATTATTAGGGGAGAGCTCTCTGTATCACCATGAACAGACGTATCTGAAGTAGCCAAGCTCTCTGTGTACTCTGTATTTCGTCTCAATCGCAGCCGTTAGCTATGGGCTTCAATTCAATCAACAGGTTTTTGCAAAAGCCCAAACCAAACCATGCCAAGTGATGAAAAGGGCTCAACCCAAATCCATATCAAACTGACAATCAATTGGGTCCCATTGGCTCGGATTTTTGGCCCAATTGGGCTTCAAACACATGACCCGGAAACGTGGGATCCAAACCCGTGCACAAAGTTAATTCCTTTTCATTTATTAATGTGTAGTGTAGTTGAAGACGATACAAACCAAACCAAAATGTATCATTCAAGATTTCAAGTAATGTGCCAATGTGGGAATGTGTTCAACTGCTGTGGTACCCGCTGTTCTTAAGAAAGGGGACAATCCCCTCATATTATTGACTCGCTCATACTAAACCTCAGAATTATTGGGAAATCCTGCCATATATCATCTGAAATTGGCGTTCAGATTTTAAAATTTAAGTTTTTCTGCCTGGTTTGGAGTATGGTCCTTGTTTTTCTATGTACGTATAGTGCATAAAAATGACACTAATTGAAAACAGAGTTCATATTAAGGATGATGATTGAGCCAGGTTTTCAAGTTTTGATCCCCTTATACATTGTTATTTCTGAAAAATTATATAATGGTATTTGAGTACGATTACGTGATATAACCTTATATATTGTTATTTCTGAAAAATTATATAATGGTATTGGAGTGCGATCACGTGATATAACTTACACACGTGTATATTCATTTATATTATAACATATGCCAGTACTATTGTACTGCACTATAATTACTCGTTCTTTCATTGTTTTATAAAACAAGGAGGAGAAATATGGTATTTATGTTCAGAGGCCATTAACGGAATCTCGGCTGCTTAAAAGAGACATGTCTCATCAACCCCATCACCATAACAGGGAGAAAGATATTTAAAGGGAAGTGAGCCCTACCACTAGGTTTTCATTTTCCTTTGCTTGATTTGATGATATTATCATTATGGATCCCAAGACGACATAAACATACAGCTTTATTCTGCCTTTGGCTTCATTCTCTTCTCTGTCGATCGTCTATTTGATTTCATTGTAGTTATATTGGTCGTTCTTAAGTCATTTTCCACCTAGAATTTTTAGTGTTTGTCTTGTTGACCCGAAGCTGGCTGAGTCCTGAAATTTGGCCTTAAAGGTGTGGCTGCCTGGCTGGTTGTTAAACCAAGGAAAACAACGTTATTAGTTTTTGACCAACTGACCCATTTGGCACGTGATGTGCAAACTTTCTTTTCATCAGGAGGAGCTTAGGAGGATCCCTAGCTAGCTAGCTAGCTATGAAGTGCTGGCATTTTCATTTTTTTATATGCGACCTTAAAAGGAGCAACCTTTTTGTTTTCTGCAACTTTGTAATAAATAAAGAAATCACAACAAAACCCATACATCATCTTGCAACATTTTTATTTACACTCGTGTTTATGGAGATGGGTAAATACCAGTACTGGGATCTGTGGAATGGTGAGAGAGAAAGTTGAATATCTGTTTGGGCATTCTGAGTGGGACAAAAGGGTTTTGGATATGAACTTACACCATTTTGGAGAGCAATTTTACAAATTTCTGTTTACATGAAGATGGGCAAATTGAAATACCAGTACTGGGATCTGTGGCAGGCAGGGCATGAAAAAATCAAACAATCATATGACTTATGTATTGGTCACTTCAATTCAATATGATTTATATCTGGTGTGGGTGTGAGTGTGACCTGTGAGGGGGATGGGGGTGTATTGTAATTTGCATGCCTTGTTGCTTTGCATAGCTGAAGAGACCCTTTCACAATTTTTGAAATCTTTTTGGGTTTGCTGTATCACCTAAAAAGGAAGAAAGGAAAAAAGTAAAAACACTATTCTACTCAACTGTGTTTTTCAATTCTTTCCTTCATTTCTCTTCAAGTTTCTCAAGTCTATCACCAAGAAAACTAACATAAACTTAATTAAAACCCAAATTCAGGACACCAGAGTTAGCTACATCAAAGGGTCCATTTCATATATGGTTATCATTAAAGAATCCTGCATGTTATTAAGAGAGTCTGATTAACTGAGAGCTAACTTTTTTTTTTTTAGAGAACCTTGACGGAATGAAGAATGAGAGCTAACTTCTTTAGAGCACTGTTTGTCGACATAAATTTTGCATCATCCCCCATCCCCACCCAAATTCATAATGTGATTCAGCCAGAGCAAAGTTGGACTTTCATTCTGATATTTCCAAATTATCAGGCTCTCTTTTTATGCATTTTTATTCTCTCTTAGCTGGGGAAAGCTACCTCTCCCTGGAATCCTAAGCACTATTGCGCCAACCTCATGTGTGGACTTTGCTTTAGTTCTGATTTTTGGGCATGTTAATTGGTTTTCACATTGGTTTATCTTTTATCATCCACTTTAATCATTCGTTTTTTTTTTTTTGGTTGAATTGG